GTATCATTTCTTGTTTATCTTCTTGTTCCTTTTATTTGTAGGCAATTCCCTTGGCAACATTCTACTAATGCATAATCTATTGGTAATTTGTTGCCATCCGGGAGTTAATTTGTTAGTGATTTCTATTATTAAAAAAAAAAAAACTAGAAATAGTGTTTTTAATTGGGCATTTTATGGAAAAATCTTCAATAATAAAATCACTTTTCTGACCAATCCTAGATAAAAAAATTTCCTAGTTTAGTCCCTAGTCAACGAAGAAAAGCCAAATTAATTGGTCATTTCTAGAGTTAAAAATACAATTTTGTCCTAATATCTATATGGTGAAGAAAAAGTAAATGCTTTTGTTCACTGAAAAGAGCGCCATAAGTTGTAAAATTCCATGCAGTAATAGGATTCTTTATTTTTAGTACCTGAAATTATTTTGAAAGTACGCTCCGCTTAAGATGTTATTTGATTCTATGTTTTATTAATAACTCTTAAAGGAATTTATTATATGATAATTAAATTTTGGTGAGGAGAAATATAAAAAAGAATGGATATATGACAATTGTCCAAAATGTTTACACAATAACAGATATCTTCAATTTATGAAGATGCACATTGCAATACTAGATATGTTGAACAGAGGTTGGCATGAGTGCATATATCTATTACTTTGTCAAAAATTAAAGAAGTATCATATAGATAACCTTTAGGTAAACGGGTGTTACAAACTGATTTATTAAATCATCAAGAGAGACCTCATCAATATCATAATTAGGGATGAGTTATAATATTTCAAACTGGAAAAAATTATTCCAGATTTTTCTAAATTCTTGGAAGATACTCGCGAAGTACGAAAGGCAGTACAAAGCTATGTTGGAAATTTATTTTCTACTGACTCAGTAAATAAATTGTACCTCATGAAATCGCTTATATTCTTAAGTCATTTTTCTTTTATTCATCAAAGGGTGAAACTTATTCCGCTAGGTCAATGACTCGATAAGTTGGAAATTATTGTTAATCACATGGTGTGCTGTCGATTATACTCGGTCACTGTGCACTGGTATGTCAGGTTGATGACATCCCCGAGGTGAGCTCAAAAAGTTTATTCAACAATAACCCTTATTGGCCCGCGGCGCCATTTTGTTAACGTTAGACACCAACCATAATTAAAGGGCAGATTTATGAATAATTAAGGTAAGATTGGAACCGTTTTATAGGAATGTTTGAACAGATTCTTACGATTGCAATATAGTCACTTTGTGAAATATATCAAGATAAAGAGATTGCCAGCTATTGTAAAGAGATTCGCCATAAAAAATCTACAAGAGTTGAAACGTATATTTGTCACGGAGTGCGCGAGTTATAGTAAGAACAACAATAAGAATTGTAAATTGCGGAAGCAAACAACCGAAGATTTACAAACTCTTCAGGGAAGCGTCCCACTTCCCCTCAGAGCTCTTTCATTGATAGATCACTCGTACACATAGTTTGGACTTACAAAGATTCGAACTCCCTTCAAATCTAGCCAACACTACTTGATCCTATCAACTAATCCTCCGGCCACGTCCCGTGGACTTGAACACCTATACTTATTCCCTAAGTGTACAAATCGTAAAATAGTTTTGATGAAATGACTAAAGAACAAAACGAAAGCAGTACAAGTCCTTGAGTTTGTAAGAACTCTTAGACTGAACTGGATACCATTAAAATAGAACCGAAAAACAAATGAAGCTTGAATGGCACTCGAATATTTCTCTGTATCGAATCCACAGCCGCCATGAGCTTCTTCTAGGGTATATATATGATCTCCTTAGGGTTGGAGTCTTCTACAAGGCATAGGTCTTCATTCAAGATTTCCTTCCAAGATAATAGGATAACTATGGCAAGAAATCTTCTATTCTCTCTCATTGATCTCCTCTCCTAGCATGTCTCTTTTCTCCTTTTTCTTTATCTCTCCACGTGCACTTACCTATATAAAAACCGTAATAAGATATACATGAATTTTCATATGGAATATAACACAATATTACTTAAAGAAATATAGTGTATAAAGATCTTCCCTTTTTATTCTGTGGTTCCAGGTGCTTGTTCGAACTATCGAACTAATGCCAAAATAAAATATCTTTCAATCTCCCCCTTTGGCATCTAGTTCGAAAACATCAGACTTGAAAGTCTCCTACAGCAATAAAGACAACAAGCAACCACAGATAAACTCAAGCAACGATTAGACCAATACATCACAAGATCTCCTTAAAGCAGTTCTCCCCCTTAGTTCCTGCAGTCATCAAAATTCAATAGAATGCTTCTGAATTCATTTCAAACATAGACAGTAAGAACACCAAAACAACTGCATTAATTCCCATCAAACAAACTTAGTAACAACCAGCAAACAACCAACAGCAAATAACAAGTTTTCCTACAATCCTCAAACCACACAAAGAAACAAAAGGAAACAAACTACAACGATTCCAAACTAACTACTCATCATCTCCAAGTTTTTCAGTAGCATCAGACTCGTCATCATCATTCTCATTGCTCTTGCTTTTCTCCCCCTTTTTCGAACTACGGGATGCCGAAGGGCCTGTCCCCGAGGTACGAGTCGATCCCTTGACAGCCTGCAGCACTTGCCGAAGATACGCCTGTTGAGCTGCAACTCGCTTGGCCAAAG